GCAATGACTTCTGCAATTATCTGACTTCTGAAATTAAAGTATCAAAACCTTAAGTGACTAAGTAGAGACTAAGTTGCAAGATACAAAAAGTACATTGACATGACTTAATGATCATGAGATGTGTCTGTCGGTTCTCCGTCATGCAAGTTAAGGTAGCCTTAAAAGCTTGAAAGGAAGGCCACTTAAACACTTAAAGTACCTTGAGGTGATCAGGTTTGACTTGATCTGTTAATACAGCCTGTATAGTGTATGCAGTTAATACATTAACCCCACGAGGTGAAAGATTACCCAATAACCACCTGCTTAATATTAAAACCACAATACTTTGTTGACAAGAAAACTCCACAGGGTACATTTAACCTCTCACTTGTTGGAACAAAAACCCCAACATATAGATATATCTCAAACTCCGATCCTATTTGCGTTCAAGAAGGAGCTACTGTATTCTCAATACAAACAAAGCCATATTGCATGGATTAGTGTTTACATGTAAGCTATTTACCATACTGATAGCCATAGATTTACAGTACTCAAGCCTGGCTGAGTGCAACCCACATGTTCTAATTAAGGGATCTCCCTTTGTGTACATTGTGCCCAGCTCGGCTGGGTTGTGTATATGAGATCGATAGTAAGTGAATGGTCAGAAACACCAGTACTGTTTCCTGTTGATACATTCCTGAATGTCCCTCAGACTGTGCAACCTGTTCTTTTTCTATCCTCCTACTTCTCAGTGCAACCCGTGCTTCGTCATACAATGAAAGAGTTATGCCACTGAAATGTACTGAAGCATGGCTGAGCACAACGTTTCCTGGTAACATTGTGAAAAGATTAAACGGCAGAGGCTACAATATGTTGAGATCAGGGCTTCTGTAGGCATGGATTAGTTTATGTAATTGTTGGGATACTGGTAAACAGGAAACAAGTCACCTGGTTTACCTCAAGAAACGTAACATAGACACCGTAAACGTGACACCATAGACTATATATAAAAGATGGTCATAGCCACCATGATGTCACCAATCGGTTCTTGCCTGTGGCTCTATGATGCCAGCCAGACTCCTTTCCTTCCTCCTGCAAGTGCATGATGGGATGCAGGCCTGATTCACAGAATCGCTCAATTCAGTTAGTTCACCTTAAACACAATAGCTAGCCAATGCCAGTCTTTTCACCCAAGGCAAACATTCAAAAAACTAAAGTCATGAGAGAATGACATTAACCACAATGTTGGTCTTCGGTTTTTGAGATGGGTTCTTAAAAATGATATCCTGAAGGTCATCAACAAGTTTTAGGCATATGCAGTGCAGCATTTGTCTCCACCCTGCTCTGCAGATACATCAGACAGAATGTGTTTCACGAACCTGGAGCTCCTCTATCTAGATCATTTGTAAAACCAACTCAACCTGGACCTAAAGGCCCAGAGTAGGAAATACAATCTGCATGGGTGATCATGACCTACCCTACCATCACAAGTATTGCAAACCAAAGAAGCACTTTAAGCTCTACACAAACGACCTCCTTAGCCATTGCAATATATACCCCAACTACTCTGAACCACTAGCAACCTTTGCCATGGTGACTGAACAAACACCTTAAAAAGAACTTCCCAAGAACACCAAAGTGCAGCTGGCATGAACCCAATATTTGGCTTCCCTTGCAAGGTAGAACCAAGTCTCATTATCTGAGATTTCTATATAAAGACTGCTCCCTTTGCCGTCACTCAAGACATGCAGGCTACATCCATCTTTTATTTAGAGTCTATCCAAGAGAACAAGCCAATCAGTAATTTGCCAAACTGACCGACATCATGGCCATAACTCTTCCTTTCTATGGCTGTGTTCTTTTCTATTCTTCAACTGAGTGCATGTCAACTGAATGTCCAGTAACTTCTTTGCTGTAGTATTAGGCAATGCTACTCAATGGGTTTTGTGCATTTCTTACCTTCTTTGTTTTCTAGTATTCCTATGAAAGAGACAGAGACTTAAATCTATTATATAAAATATATGACTAGAAAAATGGCATTCAAGAATGAACATAACTTTTATGGCAATGTTTAATTAAATATTAATTCCTAATGTATGTTTCAGTAAAAAAAAAAAATGCTTTCTCTTCTTAAGTGTAGAGACTTATTGCAGGGATGCAAGTATTATATTTGGTCTTTAAAGAATATCTTGTTGAAATTCTAGATGATGTAGAGTGATGCAATTCAATAAAACTATAAAACTGAAAACTGTGCTGTATGGCTTTGATATTAAATGCTGCTGGTTATTGGAAATTGTGCTTTTTCTTTTCCTTCCTGTGTAAATGCACACTACAAAAAATAAATTATTATGGGTTTATCTGGTGTGAAACGTATAATGTGGTAAATGTTTCCCTAGCATGCGCTCCAGAATAGCTCTACTCAGAAATGCGTTGGACACAAAAACTTAACACTGTGTTATACATCAATCATACAGCACCTGCATAGCACTACATTAGCTAATCATCAAAAATGTCCATCAATGTCTACGTACAACTCTCAACTCAGTGCAAAGTGGTATTTATACACCATTTAATCACAAGTCATTATCTCTTTTTTTTCCACAGTGTGCCTGTTGTACTGT